ACTTTTGACACAACTGATTACTGTACCAGTATAGTTGGAGCCTTACAAACATAGATGCCTCTTATAAATTCTTTGTGGGGAACGTTATTACTATAAAAGCTCCACTTAGGAGTGCAGCTAAAATGCTAAACAGTAAACATGAAATTGCCCGATCTAATGGAACCAAGTAGGTATAGATTAGTCACTGCTACCAAAGTTTGACATAGTTAAGGCATCAAAACCATTTTTATTTTCTGCTATTTTGTCCCTAATGGTTAAAGCCCTTTAGAATTTTTTTTTCTATTCAGTTTAGGTTTGTTCTATTACACCAGGTATGTTTGTGAAAATTTCAAGTGTTACATTTCAGTATATTTCCTTTTTATATCACCTTCAATACTATATAAATAATCCAAAAATGGTTAACCTTGATTAAAACTCAAGACAGGTTTCTTTTTCTTTTTTTTTTTTTTTGTCATACAGGCACTTTTTTGTGGTTTCTGAAAGGGTGTACAACCCTGTGACATCAGTTCCTTGGTAGAAGCTAAATAATGAGTCACTGGCTACTCCGCTGCATAACATTTCTTCTTTTGTTAGACTGCTGTATCTGTTCACTACCGTGCATAAGTATGCTCACCCTTATGAATTTTTCCACGAGTTTTTATGTTACAAACCTGTGACCGGATAGACCAATGAGAAGCAAAAAGCAAATAATACTTGTTTTTTTTTATGATGTCTTGTAAATCAAAATTGGAATAAGTGTGGCATTCATTTTTATTCCTCATTCTGAGACAATACTTTGTGTTATAACGTATCACTGACGGTACTGCAGCAGGGTTTTTTTTTTCCTTCTTTTTTTGCCAAGTCTCGACTAACTTTACAAAATAGCTCAAACCCAGTTAGAGTTGTTGAATAAAAGCATTTTCCAATACATATTGTACATATTCATAGTTAGCTTTAGGTCTGTGCTGTTCTACAGCAAGATGAACCTCTATCTCAACCTTAAAAACAAAATAAAACAAAAAAAACCCCAGCCCGGACCAGTTGTCTCCCAAGATTACTTCACAGCTTATAGGATTGGTTAATTTTTGTCAGTTAAAACGTTCATACTTAACCATTGTGATATAACTAAAAATAGATTTCAGAATGTTGTGATTATGTATTTAAATATTTTTTCCAAATACATTTTTTGAATACATTTGTTTATCTCCAGGTTGATCCCAAGGATTACATGCTGACAGGACTGAAAGATGTCACTGTCGGCCGCCTGCCTGGAAAACTGAACGGCCAGCAGTTTGTCATCCAAGAATGTGAGAACTGCAACATCTATGTGTTGGACCACTCAGCGACTATCAACATCGACGACTGCGTCAACTGCCGCATTGTCCTCGGACCTGTTAAGGGAAGTGTGTTTTTCAGAGACTGCAAAGACATCAAGTGCGTGGTTGCCTGTCAGCAGTTTCGCACGCGGGACTGTAAAAAGATGGACGTGTTCCTGTGCTGCGCCACTCAGCCCATCATCGAGGCCTCCACAGGGATGAAGTTCGGCTGCTTTCAGTACTACTACCCTGACCTGGCCTTCCACTTTAAGGACGCGGGGCTGAGCATATTTAACAACAACTGGAGCAACATCCATGACTTCACGCCGGTGTCAGGAGAGAACAACTGGAGCCTGCTGCCAGAGGACTCAAATGTGCTGGATTTTGTCCCAATGCCCGACCCAGAGTCTGACTTCAAGTCTGTTCGGATCTCCACCGAAGCAGCCCGGAGCATCGTGCCTTTGACGAAAGGAGGGAGGCGGAAGGACAGCGAGGAGTCCTGTCTCTTTGTTTTCTTCGCCGGAGAATATACAACTGCAAATGCCAGGAAACTGATAGATGAGGTGAGTGTTGTTAAAGAGAGGAGGCCATGTCTGTGGGAACCTGGTTTTGGAAAGTGTGCGCAAAGAGGAAGTGTTTGTTGGTGAATGGTGAAATGGTGGTGCAATTGTCAGATCTTACTTGCTGCAGGACTTTCATCCAATGTTTCATAAATTTTTGATTTGTCAGTCTGACCTTCTACTTAAACTAAGCCTAAATGAGTATAAAACAGAATTGCTCATTGAAGGCGCTATGGTTTGGACATCTTTAAATATTTGGTTGTGAACCATTCTAGAGGTTTAGACAAAATAAAATTTGAAACCAAAGATTATTTCCCTATTGTGTTTTGGCTTTCTCCGGTTAATATTTCAGTCTTTGTGGTTATTTTTATCTAAATGCTAACCACCATGCAAAGCTGACAGTCTTGCTGTGTAAATATTCCAGTGACGTTTGCTGTCACTGAAAAGAATATGAATCACCAGAAACGAAACCAGAAGTCTTACAGTTAGGAATCTTTACGAGCTACACAACTCACTTTTGTTATTATTGGCCAACTTCACTCCTCTTTACACAGGCAACCAGTAAAGGATTCGTACTGATCCAGACCAAAGAGGTCTCCATGAAGCCTGAAGATGCAAAGCGTGTGTTTCAGAGCAACGCAGAAGATCTTGTGGAGTTTATCAGTAAAGGTAAGCCTCTGTGTATATTTATAAAATGCCTCAGCTGCACAATAATTCAGCCCCATCATTGCTGCAGCCAACAAAAAAAAAAAAAAAAAAAAAACTGGTACACATACTCTTTTCAGCTGCACATTTTTCCCCAGTGTCATCATGCAGCAGTAATTTATCAACTTGAAGTTAAGAAGGAAAGAACTGATCCAAAGACTAGCTGTCTTTTTTTTTTTTAAAACATCTGAACCAGAACCAGGGAGAATTTTTTTTTTTTTTTATAGGCCGTTCCCTAACAACAAATGCAAAATTAGACAATCAATAAAAAATAAGAGGAACATTTTCTTCCAGTGAAGCTTTGCTCTTTCCATTGAAAAAAACAACTCCCCAGTTTTTAGTCTGTTCAATTTTGTGCATTCAGCTAATGAATGAATTGAAAACTATAATGTTTTATAACATAGTCAGAACAACTGGGAAAGAGCAAACTATTCCCACTGGATGAAACCTATACATTTCTGACAAGAAAACAAGCATGTTTGTCTTATTGCGTTTTAGCAGTGTGTGCAGGTGGTTAACAATATTACCAGCACAGTCCCCTGCACTAATATATCATCCATCGCCATTTGTTGGACTGACGAAAATCGGTTGGAAAATGTTTTTTACATATCTTCCAACCTTAGCTTCTGCTCTCTGAATTTTTGGTTATAGAAGGCATCTTGTGTGTAGAGAACATTTTCTTTCAGATCCATGTGAGGCGTGTCTTAAATACTTAGGATTCTTGTTCCGTGTCTCCGATTCCTCCTTTCATAAACAGAAACATAAATCTGTTTTATTTTACTGTGTGATAATTGACAGAAGCTTTTCAGAAACTAGCAAAAGTATTCACACCAACTGAGCTTTTCCACATTTCTTTTCAAGTTAAAACAACAAGCATCAACATGTTTTTACTGATGCTTAACCCACATCTGAAATTGGAAAGCATTCAACATTAGTCACTAGAGGAACCTATAGCAAAATGGAAATAGGTGCAGCTAATGGTAGCTTTAGAGGAGCTGCAATTTTTTCAAAGCTCAGGAGGGAGAAGGTGTTGAATGGAAAATTGTTTTTTGTGCTTTAATACAAATCATTATGACTTGGTGGAAAAAAGAAAACTCCACTTGTATTTTTCATGTATGTTACAGCAATTCTATTGAAGAATGAAGTTGCAACACGTTATCTCAAGGCACTTTACAGAGTTGGTTCAATCAGATCATCCACTCAGATTGGTTAGAACATTTCTATCAAGTAAAACCAGCTGATTGCATCCAGTCATCGCTCGTACTGAATAAGCATGTGGTAACAGACAGTTTCTTGCATTGTGGCATGGAGTCTTCAGCAATCCCTAACGCTGAGCATGCATGTAGCGACAGTGGAGAGGAAAAACTCCTTGTATCAGGAAGAGACCTCTAGCAGCAACATCCAACCAATATATGGAACCAGACATACAGGATGACTGTAAATCTGATCAACAAATACCTTCTATGTTAGAAAAGATTAGGATAAATAGCTGTATAGGTGGCTCTCTATTAGAAAAACAGTTAAACAGATGAGCTGTTAGCTGTTTTCATGTCTAAAGAGGTAAAAGAGAGCATAGACCCCGCAGCATAATCCCCGGTCCTCAGAACTTTACATTAGGGACAATACAGCCAGACGGCCACTAAATACAGCCTCCATCATCAGTTTATCAGATAGATATGTGGGTCGTTACTTTAGAGTCCAGCGGTAGCAGAAGCAGCTGCTTGGCCACAAAAAACCCATTTGTTCAGTTGTTCTTTACCTAATCTGAAGGACACATGGTTGGCTTTGTTACAAGGAGCACTGGTGCTCCCAAATGAAAAAATAGGTCCACCATGAATTTTCTGAAACGGCACCTTTTTAAAAGGAAAAAAAAAGAAAATGAACCTGGCTAATAATTACTGTTTGGTGAGACTGTCTTTTTTTTTTTTTTTTTTTCCAAATGGGGGTTTCCACTTAAATGCTAAATTACCTGCCTGGTTCTGCTCTTAGCTATATAAGGTTTTCCTCAAAATCAAGCCAAGGTAAGAGTTGGATCCACTCTGATTGAAACCTATAGATCTAGTTAGCAGTGGTGCTAAACATGAACAAATCATGAAATGCTGGAGGCATGTCCCTTAACCTCCTAACTTAATGTAATTTATGCAGGTTTAGCTTAACCTTTGTCATACAACATTTATTGCACTAAGGACTTAACTAAGGTCTTAACAATGATGCCATATTAATAACCCTTTATTGGGCAATCAGAATTTCAAGCCAATAGTGTTATTGGAATCCAGGGCAAGTCCTTTGTAAAATTAAAAAAAATATGGATATTTTGAATGCAAAAAATGAATTTTAATGTAATAACAAGAAACGCCAACTTGCCCGAATATATTTAGAAAATTGTGCTTCTATGAGAAATTCATGAAAAACACTCAGAGTGAAAAAAACACATTTTATTTGTACAACATATTTTAGAGGCATTAATGCTGATACTGGAACTTACATTTTTTAGTTTATAAACCTAAATATAATTAACTAGGCTTATTAACTTTTTAACTTAATTTTTTTTTTTACTTTTCAATTAGCTTTTTACCTTTTTTCTTGACTTGTTAATTTTTTTAATTAAATAATTTTTTCCTCTGATAAATAATATGCATATAATATTAAATAATTAATCTTGGGGCAAAAAAAGTCATGTTTCATTAAACTGTGCAGCCTGGCACAACGGCACAATTTGTAGCACTGTTGCCTTGCAGCAAAAAGGATCTGGGTTCGATTCCCAGCCAGGGGTTTGTCTGCATGGTCTCCCTGTGCATGTGTGGGTTTTTCCCGGATACTCCTACTTCCTCCATCAATCCAAAAACATGACTGTTAGGATAATTGGCCTCTAAATTGTACTTAGGTTTGAGTGTGTGCATGGTTAATGAGACTGAATGTGATTTAAAAATCTCCAAATACATTAAAATGCAAGATAAACTTTATAAAAACAATTTCTAGTGTTCCTGAACTGAAACTATAACTAAAATTAAACTAAAACTATATATTATTATTTTAACTTACAGATAGTTACTGGAGATACAAAGAGAAAGAGGTGTGTGCAAATTAAATGCAGGAAAGATCTATTTTTGTGCAACAGGTTCAAAGGAGGAAAAAAAAGCATATTTACATCCTAATTGTTAATTCAGGGGATCAGTGGAAGCTTTGTTCATGTGTGGCTGATGTTCAATGGAGAAATGGGAGAGTCGTTCTTCTCCCTTGCTTCTCTCATATTTATTTGCCAATCAGGACGTAAATGAGTTTTAAGCTTGCTCTCTGGATTCAGGGCTGCAGCCACTCATCTCTATTTATTCACTGGATTACTGGAAACAGTGAAGCCACTGGCTGCCATATTGGTACTACCCACTCCCACAGAGACGTGCCATTAAAATGCCAAGGTGTGTAGCATTTGGCTGCAAAACCAGGCAGTTTGCCTGCTGTGGGAAGACGTTTCTCTCTGCTTCTGTCTCCTTGAACCCCAGTCAGCCTTGGCAGATGGACGCTCACTCTGAGCCTGGTTCTGCTGGAGGTTTCTTCCTGTTAAAAGGGATTTTTTCCTCTCCACTGTTGCTACAAGCATGCTTAGTGTGAGGGATTGCGTTCAAGTCAATTAGCCGATGCAATCAACTGGTTTTCCTTAGATAGAAAACTATGAATCAATTTGACTGGATGATCTAGTGAACTGCAACATGCCTTGAAATGAAATGTGTTGTGAATTGGCACTATAGAAATATTTTAGGAGCAAAATGTGAGTAAAAAGGGATTAAATCTGTACTCGCATCCATGCTGCCATTAGTTTTTCATTTATTTTTCTACTCACACTAATCTATTTTTAGGTGCAAATGTAAGTAAAATGCTCACACTATACAACCCTGCCTCTTTGCACTATGCGCCTCAGTTTACTGTCCCGGCTCCTTCGGGTAACCATAACTAACGTTTTTGTGGTTGACTTGCTGTTGTCTCCAATCACTTCCACTTTATCAAAATACATCTAACAGTTAATTGTAGTAGTGAGGAAATTAGATTGGACTCTTTGCTCACTATCACACTTCCCTGCTGGAATTAACTGAGCTCCAGAGAGCAGCCAGTACTTTCTCAAATTTGTAGAAACGGTCTACATGCGCCAAGTTTTACTTCACCACCTCATTACTCTACATGGGTGAAAAAAAGCTACCGTATTTTCACGACCATAAGGCGCACCGGACTAAAAGGCGCACTCTCAGTTATGTGTCCCATTTCTGTATTTAACGCATGCGTAAGGCGCACCGGACTATAGGGCGCGTTTTTTATATACAGGTACATGTCCTCTACTACCTTTAAATACCTCTACTGCGTATTTAAAAATACAGCGGG